AGTTTTTGTTGTGTTGTTAAAATTCAAGTTGTTATTTCCAATCATTTGTCACATGAAAAGTCTGATTAACATAGAGAGATTATAAGGGAAACAAAGTAAGCTGTAATGTATTCCTATCCATAGACTCTTGAGGTATGGGTATGTCTCTGAACCAGAATAAAACTCAAAGTACAAGGCTATAGAGTTGGCTCAGTGGCTAAGAGCACTGGTTACTCTTGCAGAGACCTGGATTCAACCAATCCCCAGACCCACATGGTGGTTCACAACCATCTGATCCAGGGGAACTGATGCCTTCTCACCTCTGAGGCACCAGGCACACAGCTGGTGCTCATACATACATGCCGGCAAAACACCCATACATGTAAAATAATCTAAAAACAAAAAACCCTCAATGTAGAATCTTAGTGGCTATTTCCCCAGAGATTAAATATAAGTAACGGGAGCAGTGACACCATCAAGCATCAGTATGTCCTTCCTTCTTGCTACAAAGATATTAAAGACAGTATGGAGGCCTTATTGTTTAGTTTATCACTATTAACATTTCATAGTAAAACAAGGGATGAAATGTTCAGGTTAGCTCTTTGGAGGTTATCTTAGATTCAATTTCAACATGTTAGGAAGAGCAAAGACAACAAAATGAAAAACTACACATTTTCTTAACAGAAGCAAGTAAATTATAACTTAATTAAAAGTTTAATTCCTGAGTTATTTTAGAGCATATGATAGAGCTGGTATATATTGATGGAACCCAAGTCACAGTGGTTTGATTTCTGATATATTGATTTGAGATGGTACAAAGGTCATACTCAATCAGTGGAAATCATAGTTCTAGTTTGAAATTTTGATTTTCCTGGACTCAATATGTATCATGATATCCTTAATGTTGGCATAACTTCCTATAAACCATGCAATCACTAGGACATAACTGATATTCTGCAGTCCACTGAGTTGCTAAGCTATGAGATTTGATAGGTAAGGTGAACTAAACACATTGAGTTACATTTTCTTTTTAAAAATATTTATTTATTTTCTGTGTATGTATGTATGTGCATATCTGGTGCCCACAGTGGTCAGAAAAAGTTGTCAGATCTCCTGGGATTGAAGCTATAGATAGCTGTGAGCTACCATGTGGGTACTGGGAATAAAAAACTCAGGTCCTCTGTAAGAGGAGCAAGTGCTCTTAACTGCTCCAGACCTGATATATCTCATCTTATGATATTTTTGGGATAGATACAACTTTGCAAGTTGAGGAGCAGCTTTGTACCAATGCCTTTAATATGTTATATGTAAGCAGTTTTCTACTGACCCCAAACATTTTTGTTTACTTTCAGTTGACAATTTAAATATACTGGTTTCTCAAGACTATGATTCTCTTTACTGTCTTAGACTGTCATAAACAAGGAAGTTTTATGCACATGGAACCTAGGCATTTCTACTGTTTAACTACACAGGTACTATTGTATAGTTCTATGAGTAAAAATATGCTACATAACTGAAGGAATATTGTTTGACTATGGAGAGCACATACAATCTTATACTCTTGTCTTAGAAGCTACAAATCAGGCCCCGCCCCTGAGCCTTTGTCTCCTAGAGCATAACACTTTACTGTCTTCCTCGGTGCTCAGGAGTAGTAAATATAAGCCAACTTTAGCCTCTAAACTGACTTAAAGCAAGTAATAACGGTACTGAAATAAAAGAATGGAAGAACATAGTGGTAGTAGAATATTTCTGCACAGATAGTCTGCAATTTTTACGGGGGTGGCTATTCCAAGAGAGAGGGAAACATTTGTGGCAGTCAAATCCCATTCCGATTTACTTCCAAATTACACTGTCTTTCCAAAGAGCCACCCAATATGGGCACTGGAAACGGAAATTCAATCTTCTGCAAGAGCAGTTTGTACTCTTAACCACCTAATCTATCTCACTAGGCCACATTGTCCTTCTTTTTTTTTTTAATGGTAAAAGAATTCAAAGCTTTTTCTTCTAACTTAAAAAAATACAGTTCATTCCTGTGATCGACAATTACCCCCTGTGCAATGGTACTTAAGAACTTTTACTACTAAGTGTGATGTCCTACCTGTGATGGCTTTCCACGTCAGCTTGACATATTCCCAAATTAGAGATTGCCTGCATCAGGTTGGCCTCTGGACATGTTTGTGGGAAATTTTCTTGATTGCTAACTTATCCAACCCACTGTGAGCAGCATCATTCCCTGGGCAGGGGTACTAAGCAAACAGCATGCAAGGATGCATTTATTCTGTTTCTAACTGTGGATATGATTTGACAAGCTGTTTGAGTTCCTGCATTTCAGGAAATGATGGGCTGTAACCTGGAATTGTAAGCCCAATAAACCAATTTCTTTTCAAAGTTCTTCTTTATCAGGTTATTTCATCTTAACAATAGAAATAACATTAGCATAGTACCCATTGATCAATTATGCTGGTTCTTTTTAAGTGTCAGCTTGATACTTCCCAGAACTGCTTGGGAAGAGAGTCTTAAATGAGGAATTACTGTGCTCAGGTTGGCTTGTGTTATGTCTGTGAGGGACTGCCTTAGTTGTTTATTGACACTCGAAGGCCCAATCCATTGTGGGTGACACATTTAAGAGGCCATCCTTAAGCTGTACAAGAGTGAGGAAAGCTAGCTAAGTGCAAAGGAACAAGTGAGGAAGGATATGCTTATTCTCCTTTTGCTCCTTTAACTGTGGGTATCATGTGACCAGTTGCTTGACTTCCTGCTTTGACTTCCTCAAAATGGTGGGACTATAACTTGAAATTGTAAATGCTGAATGAACCCTTTTTTTCCAAACTGCTTTTTGTTCAGAGTATTTAACTGAAGCACAGGAATGAAACTAGAACGTCAACCTTCTCACCAGCTTTCAAAGTGACCTGTCCTTATAAAACTAGGAATCAAAAGATTCAAACTCTAAAAAAGACACTGAGGGTTTTAGTGCCAGGAAAAATTTACATAGGGAGAAAATAGCTGATATTTCAAGTGTCCATTAATATTTTAAAGTTGGTTTAGTATGTCTTATAAAAAGATGTTTCTAATAATGTAACATTTGCACATTAAGGTTTCTATGTTTGTAATACAAATGCAGTACAAACAAAAGTAGTTAATCTTTTGTGCAGTAAAACCTGTATAACACGCCTTTAATCCAGCACTCGGGAGGCAGAGGCAGGCAGATCTTTGTGAGTTCGAGGCCAGCATGGGCTACAGAGCGAGATCTAGGACAGGCACCAAAACTACACAGAGAAACCCCATCTCGAAAGACAAAACCAAACCCAGCATGTACAGGAAAGCATTGTTGTGAAGTTCTACACAAGTATGGAAGTGACAGTGGAGTGTCTGTCCCTGAGACAGACAAAGCTTTTACACAGAGCCACCACACCACTGAACAACTATTAATTATATAGTGAGAGGGGACTCTACCTACAATTTTCCGATTATAGTATTTTGGTGGTAGAGTGCTTGGCAAGATGTGCGAGGCCATGGGATCAATGACTGGTAAGATATTTTGAGTATAAAATACATAGGAAACTCTATCTTTTATTGAAACACAAAAAGAAGTATAAACTTCTTACACTGCAGTTTTTCATTTGAAAATTTATTAATTTTTTCAACGTTCAACAAAAGAGTAATTCCTATATGACTAAATTTAAGACTAAAGTGAGTTTCTTTTTACAGTTTCTGGTGTTGAGTCTGAAGACAACTTAGAAATGTGCATACTCCTAAGTTGAAAAATCAAACTTTCAATGAACACTATTAGAACACTCACCACCCAGTCTCCTACCGGAAATATTTAAGCGATAATTTCAATTATTTTGATACTCACTCTCTCCCCCTCCCTTTCTCCCCGACATGTATATCCAATACATCATGTACACATATACCAGCAATTGATGATGTTATCATTAGGGGAAGTCTGTCTCAGAAGATTTTCTAACAATACTGAAAGTTAAGCCTCTAGAAGTGAGTCTTGTTAACAGTCTAGATTTTAATGTGAAACCAAAACTGGGGTCTTATTTCATATCCATAGTACAATGGCATAGGAAATAAGGGCTGCAGTGAGTAGTCATGGCAGTGAGTGGTTACTGGGTGGGGGCGGGGCGGGAGCATGAGGGGATAGAGAGGCTCTTTAATATAGCGTTCAACACATACGATGGATCAGTCATAACTGTGAGTGCAAACACAGCTCTTTTCTGTCATTTACTGCAGAGTATACTTTCTTATTCCACCAAACTAAAGTGGATACAAATTCATGTCACCACCCAACAGTTAATCAATCTGCAATTCTTTACTATGATGAGGCTATTTCTCTCACATGGTGATCCTGAACCTCACTAAAAAACCCAGTCAAATAAAGGAAGAGAATCTCTTGCTTCAGAGCTGACGACCAGAGTATAGAGAACATGCACATGAATCTAATTAGATTAGATTTAATTGGGTGCTATACTATTTTTTTGGCCTGAATCTGATTCAGTGAATACAAATATATTAAATATGAAGTGGAGATGATTATCTGTTTCATCTCCCTACACCTATCTGTATTATTGACACAGATAATCCTATGTGCCATATCCAGAACAGGAAAATTAGATATAAGAAGATGTTAAAGGTTACCAGGGACTTCCGAGAGAGGACAAATAGGAAGGTGAACTTACTGTGTAATGAGAACAGTTTCTACTTGTGGCAGTGGAAAAGGTTAGAAATTCTGGTAATAATTTTCACAGAGCTGTGAATATACTCAAAGACACTTAAAATAGTTAAAACAATAAGCATAAGTTTATGTATCTCTGTATCACAACAAATAAAACATTTTGACCATGAATGATTTATAACATTTCAAAATTAGTTAATAGGAATTATAGTTAATTTAGAATTTGTTTCCTTCATATAAAATAATTCCCTAACTCTGTACTTTTTGGATCACAGTTGGGGTAAAACTGTCCAGAGCATAAAGGAAGGAAAGCAGCGAGAACTCAAAGTGAACTCCTTACTTTAATGGGCTCAGGCTGCATCACGGGCGCAGGCACAGCAATGGCGCTGGAGGCGTAGACCTGGTGGTACGATGCTGCTTGGACTCCATGGTCGGAATACGGCTGTTCCAAGAGGCAGCCAGCAAAGGGGAGGTGGGGAGAGAAAAAAGAGGGGTCACTTTTATTACTAACACAGTTATTCAGCACTTACTATGTGATATGCCTGATGCCTCATTCAAAAATCCATTCACTATGTTTAATGACTTACTGTCTGATCAAGAAACAGACATTACTCTAAATCATCCCATCTCCTATGAGTCACGTGTATGATGTATGGGGAATAATGATCACTCAAAAAATACTAAAACATTATGTGTAAGAAAACTGGGGAGGCCGGGTGGTGGTGGTGTGCATCTTTAATCTCACCACTTGGGAGGCGGAGGCAGAGGGAGAGGCAGACGGATCTCTGAGAGTTCGAGGCCAGACCGGGCTACAGAATGAGTTCCAGGAAAGGCTCCAAAGCTACACAGGGAAACCCTGACTCAAAAAAGAAAAAAAAAAGAAAAAAATTGGGGATGATGGTCATAAAAATTTCCTAGTGGCACTGATGTTTGATTTAAAGACCTGGGGACACAGTGAGGGACAGCGTAAGTAAGACATTTCTTCTGTGAGGCTTACTTAGGTTGTTTGATAGAACATTATACACTAAGGGATACAATAAATATGGCAGAAGAACAAGGGCATCATTTAAACATTCTATTTAAATAGTAACCAGTGCAGGGAAGGGTGTGGGGAAAGAGGGACCTTTTACTGTTGGTGGTACTGTAAACTGGTACTGTCACTGTGGAAATCAGTATACAGGTTTCTCAAAAATTTAACAATAGAACTACTCTAAGACCCAGCTCTACCAACCCTGGACCTATATCCAAGTGATTCTATATCCTATGCAGAGATACTTGCATACCCAGGTTTACTACTGGTGTATTCAAATAGAAAGGAAATGAATCAGCCTGGTTACTGACCAACAGATGAATGGATAATGAAATAAGTTTATATTTAAACCAACAGATTCAAAATGTTATCTAAAGTATGCTTATTTAATCATTGAATTTGTCAGTATTTTTAGTAGCACGTCTCCCAAACCCAATATAAATTTTACACTTCCAGGACGTCTCTCTTTGTTCTTCCCCCTTTCAGGGGCTCAACTGCTCTAGACAGACAGTGACTGCAAACTCAGGGATGATGCTGACATAGAGATACAGAGAGGATAGCATCAGCCTGGAGGGAGACCCACACATGAGAAGGAGCAAAAGGTCAACTTACAAAGGAAAAGAAAATCTGGGAAAGGAATTCCAGGAGCGGGCAGTGCTGTGTAAACACAGGTGTCAGACACATCACCAAATATGCATGGTGTTCCTGAAAGGTTAATAAGATTACAAAGGCAGGACAATATTTAGTAATTAGGATGTCATTAAGGAGCCTTCTTAAAGGCAGTTTATGCAGAAAGACAATGAAGTAGACTTCAGCAGGTGTGGAATAAAGTGGTGCTGAACATTATAAATACTGAATACAGCCTATCTTTCAAGAATCTTAGTTTTGAAAGGTAGAAGAGAATTAGAGTATCTGGGAAAGAATGTGTCAAAAGATAATAGTTACCTCTCAAAGATGCTACAGATATTCAAAGAATTTTGTATCAAACAGCTTTAATCTTTTAATATTGCAATATGGTTTCTTGATGCCTTCACTTCTATACATAAGGTCATTATGAGATCAAGACTGTGGAAGCTAACTAATTCCCTTAACAATCACAGTAGAGCAGTGAAGCAGAGGACCAATGGAGAGAAGCTGACTTCCACCACAAGAGGGAAGAATGGACCAGAGATGGACTGAGAGCCCTGACAGGAAGGAAGTGAAGGTTTCCAGAGCGCAGTAAGTAGAAGCAACCTTGGCCAAGAACAAAATATCAAATAAATATAAAAAACCATAAGGCTGGATTAGGACCTGTTTAAGTTTGTATGTTGGGAGTTGGAGGCTAAGTAGGTTTCAACTTCTATGAAAGAGGAAGCACAGATGTATTCTCAGACTGACAAGGGGGAAATCTGTAGTAGTCAAGGCATGGTAGAACTTTGCTGGTGACTGAATTAACACACTTGTTTTCTTCTGAGGAAATCTGATCATAACATTCACAACGAAAGTCCTGCAGATTTTAACTGTAAATCATTACAGTCTATTTATTAAATTATATATTAATGAGAGTATTCATTCTGTTGGAAACAGCACTAAGAAAAGCATACAGGTATCACTGAGTATGGAAGTACCATGTCAAGTAGAAGCTACGCAGTCACAGCAGCAGTCTTAGAAATGACTTCTTAGACTAGATAAGGCGTGAATATACACTGATGGGGGGTGTCTGACAGCAGAGATCGAGAGCACGGTTAAAGCCCAAAGCAGATTCTGGTGAAATATCTAATGTGAAAGAATTCTTACTTTACTCTCACCTCTATTCAAACCTGAAGGTAAGAAAACAACAAGACAAAATTTTGAAATTTCATCATCAATTAAATAAGAAAATATCCACGGTTTCCAAATCACAAACCATGTATAATGTGTTCCTATGCTATGCAATCTGGACAAACATAAGGAGGATTTTGAGGCATTAATTGAGCAAGAATAAAGATTTCCCCAGATGTCAATGAAAGCTCTAACCACAGATCCTTTGGAGGCTTGTATGGTCGAGCTGAGGCAACAACACAAAGATCCACTTTTACACTGTTTAACAATAAGGGAGGGCCTCCAGGAGAATGAGGTCTGTATTATCTTCTGTCCACCCTGTGGGCTCTGAGCTGAGCAACACTGCCGGAGATGGAACAGGGTGAAGGCTGGGGTGAGCAGTGACGGTTCCATCTCAATACAGAGAACCTACCATGAGATTAACTAGGAATCAAAATGATCACCAGCAAGGATATGGACAAAAGGGAACCCTTGATACTGTGGAGTGAACGCAAATTAGGACAGTTATCATGCAAAACAGTATGTGGGTTTCTAAAAAAAAATATTACTATATGATTCAGCAGATCCATATTTCTGGATATACATACATATGCACATACACACAAAGGAAAGGAACCAACTTGCTACAGAGGTTTGAACTCATAAGCTCATTTGCAGCATTATTCACAATAGTAAAGGAGTTGGAAATGTGGCTTCATGGTAGAGTATTTGCTCACAGTACACAAAGCCTTGGTTTTGTCTCCCAGTACTAGAAAAACAAAACAATATTCTTCTTTTACACAATAGCACTTATATAGAATCAACTTCAGTGTTTATCAATGGATGAAGAAAATGTGGGCTATGAACAACAGAGTAACATTCAGTATTAAAAAGGAGGAAATTCTGTCAGCTGCGACATCATGGATGAACCTGGAAGACATTGTACCATGAAACAAGTCAGGTACAGAAAGATAAATGTTTCTTAATGCTTCTATGTGGAATCTGGGAAGCCAAGCCCTCAGAAGCAAAGACTAAAATAGTGGTTTTCATGGGTGGGGAGAAGGATGGGAAGATACTGTTTACATGGTACAGTGATAAGCACAGAAAGGACGAATGTGTTCTGGAGAGTCACTGGACAGCATGGCAACCGAGGAGAATAACAGTAATGGGTTACAAACTTGAAAACTGCTGAAACATCTTAAAACAATCTCACTACAAACAAAACAAAAACGAGTAACAACATGGAAAGATGAATTACCTTGACTGTGGTAATTAGAGTACACATAACTACAAAATAGTTCATAAATATTTACAGTACAACATTTATACTCAATTATATTTCACTAGATCTGGAAAAGAGGAACACAAAAAAGTAAATGAAGGATGAGACGGAATGGAGAAATTCTAGTAAAAGTATGGAGATCAAAAACACTAAGATCTAACTGGAAATTACTGTTCCAGGATAAAATTATGTTACAGGCCTTAGTACTATAGAGATAACAAAACAAGACACTCAACCAGGTGCTGACTGAAAACATATCACATCACCTGCACAGTTCCAGCACACAGATGATGTTATTAGTGACACACTGAGGATGTAACTTAAAGACATTGAAGATAATATTGTAATTTGTAGTTAATTTACATTAGTATAGGAAGACTTTGAAATTTTACAACAGCTTAAAGATTACATGCTTTTAACTGAAAAATTATTTAACAACAACACAGGTTGATAAGAAAATAAGAAGGTGCAAATATCTGATACGTTAAAACTTTAAAAGAGACATGGAAAGTGATTCGGGACTAGTTACTGAAAAATTCTAAGATGAAGAAGCAACACTCTTGGAATAAAAATGGCAAATACAAATAAACCAGAGAAAACATAAAATAAGCAATTTTAATGATGATCTTCAACAAATAAAAAAGAACTAAATGTCCATACAAGGCAGTTACAGACCAATCACTTTACCACAAATAGAGCTGGGGATGTACCTCAGTTGCAGTGTATTTTTCTAGAACCTACAAGGCCCTGGGTTGAATTTCCAACCCCGAGCAAATGGAAACAAAGAAAAAGATGAATGTGTACCTCTGGGACGGAGGCTTCCATCAGAGACAGTGGAGGAGGAACACAGCCACCATCTTGTGCAATTTCCACTGGTTGATAAATAACATCAGAGGGCTGCAGATATAGGAATGGAGCAGAAGAGGCAGGGGACTAAAACACAAAATGATCCTTGTTATTCAAATATGATTGGTTATTTCTGCTAAGCAAAAATGACAGACCCTAAAATGAAAAAAAATATTTGTTGCATATTTTCCTAAAATGACTTTTCAGGGATAGCACAGAATTATCTTAGAAACAGAGTAGGAAATCCAAGTTGTCACACATTTCAGGTGTATAGGTATTATTAAGAAACTTTATTAATGACAAGTACTAAATGTTTATAGTGCCTCAGAACCTCATAGAGAAATAGACAATAATTATAGGTATACTGATATCATGAAAAGTTACAGTAATAGACCGATCATATTTAAATTGGTCTAAGTGTCTTTCAATTTTGTGATTTCACATAGGTATAAGAAAATATCACTAAATAATTTTTTTGGTAGTATACCAAATTAGGGAGAAATTGGAAAACTGTACAGGTTAACACCTTTGAGACTCCAGATTTTAGAGAAGATTTTAGATTTTGGATGATGAGTATTCATCCAATAATAGCTATATTAAATATCCCCCAATCAAAATATTAAAAGAGTTTTGGTCTCAATCATTTCAGATAATGGATACGCAACCTGTTTTTATTTAGGACCATGAGACAAACAAAGCAAAATCTGAAATTAAGTTAGCAAAATGCCAACGTTTCTAACAACAAAAGTACCAAAATTATTTTTTATGTTATATAGCACTCCTTTATAAAATGTTTTCCACTAACACGATCTCATTTCATCTTCCCCTCAACAAGGTTCTAACATCACAACATCTATTTTACAACCGAGGGAGTTCTGAGGTAGTTAAAGGAAACGCCAGTGCACGCATCTTACAGAGGGGGGATGAGGAAGGAGTCGTCCAAGGAGACACCGTTATAAATAGAGGAGGGAGGCTCTAAGTCTACTTGTCGTGACTTTAGAAAGATCGTAAATTAGACACAGAGGGGATATTTACCTGGGGAACGCCCCACTGCCACTGCCCTGGTAAACACTGAGCTGGGGCCTAAAATGAGAACAACAAACACACACCTCGGTCACACACAGGGTTAAAACCAGACATTGCCATGCAAAAGAATGAAGCTCAGTTTTCAAGGAATGTATAAAGTTAACTCAAAATGGATTAGAGCTCTAAACACAAAAGCTAAAATAGTAAAATTCTTACAAGAATTAGACTACAAAGGTAGAAATCTTCATGACTTTGAATTAGGCAATGTTTTAAAAGTTATGCTTTAAAAATACTTATAATAACTGGGTGATGGTGGTGCACGCCTTTAATCCCAGCACTTGAGAGGCAGAGGCAGGTGGATCTCTGGGAGTTTGAGGCCAGCCTGGTCTACAGAGTGAGTGCTAGGACAGCTAAGGCTACACAAAGAAACCCTGTCTAGAAAACCAACCAACCAACCAAACACCCCCAAGCCACATACTAAAGGAACAATACTAATGAGACCAGGATAAACAGGACCTCATCAAAACTCCTAAAAATTTGACTGCTATGAAGAACTCCATCACTGAAGTAAAATTTAACCCACAAGATGTGAGAAAAATGTCTACAAATCATAATTATTATTATTTATATTTTTTTCGATGTAGGGTTTCTCTGTGTAGTTTTGGTGCCTGTCCTGGATCTCACTCTGTAGACCAGGCTGGCCTGGAACTCACAGAGATCCGCCTGGCTCTGCCTCCCGAGTGCTGGGATTAAAGGCGTGTGCCACCACCACCTGGCTTACAAATCATAATTTGATAAGAAAATTTTATCAAGATTATTATTCTTTATGTGCAATACCGGTGGTTCAACACAGGGCCCCACAAGTCCTTTGCAATCACGAAACAGCCATACTCTAAGCCCCAAAGAATATACAAACCTGTTATGTATTGATTTTTAAGCTATAGGAATAGGGAGTCCCTTTTGTGTTTATCAGCTTCTCAGAAAGGAGGCACTGGAAGAGATGCACAATGGGGTGGGGTTTCTCCTCACTCAGATGCAGTGAGTCAGTTTGCATTTGTGAGAGTGCACAGGTAGAGAAAAGAAGGTTGTTACTCTCTAGAATTGGTTTACCACAGACTTGCTATACCCCACTTCTCCAGTTCGGAACGTTAACTTCAAATTGTTTGTTGGGACAAGATGTCTCGTCTATAATTCTATGAACATATGAGAATTTTCCTCTTAGAGTAGTTTCAAGTGCGTATTACTTGTACAAAGTAACACATTTCATTATGACACTTCCATACAGGCACACAACATGCTTTGATCATAATCACCCTATACTCTCCTACTGTCCCATCCAATTCTTTTTCCTTCTTCTTTTAACACACTTAGTAGTTTTTAAGCATATGAGATAAGATATGCTTTTTCTTTTACTTATTTTTGTGGGTCTGGATTACTTCAAAACATGATGATCTTCTGTTCCATCTAATTTCCTGTAAATGACATAATTTCATTCTTCTTTAGAGAGGAGTAAAACTTGTATATATGTTACTTTTCTTTATCTGTTGATTGACTCCTTGGTGGATTCCATACAACAGTGTGGCACAGCCGAGTCCTATGGTAGTTCTGACTTTAAGAGTTCCATCCTGCTTCTCATAGTGGTTACACTAATTTACAGCCTCATCAGCAGTGAATAAGGGTTCCTTTCCTCTACATTGTTGTTTTCTTGATGGTAGACATTCTGACTGTGATGAAATTAAATCTCATTGTAGTTTTGATTTGCATTTTTCTGATGCCTAAGTCTGAATCTTTTGTTTCAAATCTGTACTTTTTTTTTTAACCTGAAAAGTGTCAGTTTATCTCCACTGACCATTTATTGACCAGGTTGTTTGCTTTTTTATAGTCTAAGTATTTATAGTCTAAATATTAGTTTTCTGCTTGATTCATTCTTTGGGGGTGTGTTTAACCCTATTCTGTGTGTGGATATCCAGTTTTCTTTTCACTACTTATTAAAGGGCTGTGTTTTTCCTGTGTCAAGACTCAGATGAATGTAGATGCTTGGGCTAATTTCTAGACCTCCTCAGTCTACTCCATTGGTCTGTGTGACAATTTTATGGTCTTATAAAGTAAGGCAGTGGATGACTCCTGCAGTGTTCCTTTTACTCAGGATTGCTTTGACCATTCTGAGTATTTCGATTTACATATGAATTCTAGGATTTCCTTTTCTGTATCTGGGAAGAACGTTACTGGAAATTTAATGAGCATTACATTGAGTTTACGAATCCTTTTTTGGTAATAGCTCTTTTAACAGTATTAGTTCTGCTGACTCATGAATGTTATGCAGTTGTTTCCTCTGCACTGAAACACTCCCTCCTGGAGGGAGAAGGAAGACTCCATGACTCAGGAAGCTCACTAAGTTATTACCAAGAGTCTCCTCTGAAAGATCACGGAAGCAGGAGAAAGTTACTGCAGAGCGGAGTCTTTCTAATGGCTCGGCCTGCCAGCCCCCGGTCTAAGGCCTGCAGTTACAAAGCTGTGGTGTGCTGCCACCATCTTAGGCGGAACTTTACAGCGACCTAGTTCCTTTGGAGTCACCCAGGCTCCTGCTGGTAATCCTCCACCCATGCAAGTATGAGCCGCTCTGTTAAACTCACCAAGCCAGACTTGAGTAGAAAGGTTTCTCTGGTCTGTCTTCAGACCCACCCTACCTGGGGTTAAGAGATGCCTGTCCACTTCTTCACAAGAAAAGTCACACAACATGATTAGCACCTGCATAGGGATCTGACAGACATGAAGATGAGTTGGACAGGAGCAAGTCCATGCTGTTGCAGTGGGTAAGACACATAACTGAAGCTGATCTGTCTGAGGGTGGAGCATCTGCAGGGGCAATCCCAGCGTGGGTTCCTTTCCTCATGTGGGATGGGAAGGTGTGCCTCCTTGCTGTAGGGGCAGCAGCATAGTCCCTGCTATTGGTGAGCAGGTTTAGCTAAGGGTAGTTCATTCCTTTTTTCTTGTATTTTTATTATTTAAAATAATTTTAAACCCACAAATCTTCTCCCCCTTACTACTCACCCAACTTTAAGTTCTTTTGTAAAAAAACAAAACCCCAATGCAACAACACCCCTAAAACCAAGAAAACAAAACTCCACCCAAAGAGAAAAAAATCACCAAACTGTAACCAAATAAACGTACTTTCCACCCCAAACATGTGTCGGTCCTCTACTCCTGACCACGAGGTCTGATACACCACTGTTACTCACTCTACCGGAGAAACCTGACTTTCCCTCCCCGAGCGGGTATAAGTGACAGTTCAGTTGTCAACCTTTATCCTCCTCACTAGGTTCTCATCCATTCATCCCTTTTTCAATAAAAATAACAAAACATAATAAAACAGAAACGATCACGTTGAAGTTGGGCAGGACAAAGCAACAGAAGGAAAAGAGCCCAGGAACCCGAGGCTCGTTTAGTTGCACACCCAGGAGGAGTCCCATGAAACAGTAATACATACACAGAGGACCTGGTGCAGACCCGGGCAGGCCCTGTGCTTGCTGCTTCAGTCTCTGAGAGTTCATGTGAGCTTTGCTCATGTTGATTTAGGGGGCCCTGTTTTCTTGGTGTCCTCCATGCCCCCTAGCTCTTACACTTCCTGTCTCTTGTTCTGCAAAATTCCCTGAGCTCTGAGGGGGGAGATTTGATGAAAATATCCCATTTAAGGCTGAGTGTTACAAGGTCTTTTACTCAAAGAGTAGGTCATTCTTAGGAGGAATTTCAGGGTGTCTACCTTCCTCCATGTGGTATGATGTGGTATGCAATCTTGATGAATGGGGTCTGCTCTAAGTACATGGATGCTCCCCTTTAAATGGCCAAAGAAGCAGTGAATATAATGCAACCCCCAAGTGTAGCACGCATGGGATGGAGTCACAGGCAGACAGCAGAGCTGTTTGGTGGTGGGTGAATTTGCCTAAGTGGGGAGGAATTCTGAAGATTGTAAAGAAACATGGGAATGCCCTCTTCCGCACTAATCTCTGATGGCAGGAAACGTGTGACAAAGGAAGACGAGATGAGGTTTTGGCTCTGCCTTTCTACTGGTGTGATGAGAGGGAGAGGAGAGATAAAGAGCATGACTACAAATCAATCAGATCTCTGTTAACCAAAGAGCCCATCCTGGGATCCCAAACTCGGAACTCCTGGGAAGAATCAGAGACCAAGGAGGAAAAGTGCAAAGGAGCAGTAAGAGAAAATACCCCGTGATCAAAGGGCATCCGGACTGATACAGAGGAAGGGAAAATCCATGTTTCACATGAAGACGGGGACTTAGCGGCTCAGTACTTTGGACTATGGTAGTCAGTGAGTACATCCGAACTGAGTGAATTGTGAAAGAGCACCTCACGGTTTAGCTTGTGTGGTTGTGGGACGAGGGGGTATGTGGGCTCAGTCTGAGTGCTGTGGAAGCAGAGACAAAGCCCATAGGAGGAGAGAGATGCATGGCAACCTCGCAGTAGTGCCCATGATTAGGATGTGGGATGGCGCACAGAGAGGTAGATGGCATAGTGTATCCCGGATAGGCTGCTTTACACACTTAAAAAATTGAATTTACTTATTGTGTATGGGTGTTTTGCACGCATGTGGGAAATGCTATGAAAAGTAAAGAAAATACCTCTTGTTTAGGGTTTGGGTGGGGAGAAAAAGGCATGTCTGCTAATGGTTAGTTTACTTTTTTAAAGGGAGTGGTTAAGTATTCTAAAATATTGGTATACTATATATCAACTCTGTTTAGTATAAACTACTCAATCGTATACTTTTAACGACTGAGCAATATAGTATGCAAATTTTATCTAAATAAAGATAATGATTTTGTATTATCAAAGATGTTTTACTTTTATTCACTTTTATAAGGTCTTTATTACTGAAGGGGGAAGGGGGAGAGGGAGAGAGGGAAAAGGAGGGAGAGAGGACAGAGAGACAGAGTCAGAGGGGAGGGACTCAGACTATAACCCCACAGATCTGTTATCTAAAGCAAACCACTGTACAGTGCTGACCCCTTGAACTTCCAAAGGATGGTATCACTATATTATAATGATGACTAAGATAATTGAAACTGTTGATATATGACATTTAAAAATGAAGGGTAAAAACCTCTGACTGCTCTGATAAAATATTGAAATACAATGATTAATATGTGCCTTTGTTAGACAAATGAAGGAATTAACTACAATGGAAACAGAATGACAGAGGTTAACGTCATAAATTATCTGGTATGAAGGACAGGATCTGAGGAAGCCATCAATCTTCACCTTTAATTTTGTAATTAGTGTCAAATATGAAGTCAGAATCAGAGTATAAAATTAAATGATAGTTTCTAAAATTACATATATGTCAATAATATTTATTGCTACAATTAATAATATTACTATATCAATAATTAATTAATAAAAATGCTACACTCAGGATTCAAGCAAAATCCAACTTTCTTCTTTCTCACTTCTGATACTTGAAAAGCACTCTGTTGTTTTTCCTTGTGCCCGGGTTTGACAGAGAGCAAATTACTGGTTTGGAGTTTGGCAGATTCCAAATACCAGCGGTCCGGTATGGAACTTTACTTAGACCCTTTGATATTCTTCTTAGCAACTTCTGAGGAGGTCACATTCTTTTTGTACAGATTCTTAGCTGGGCTCATCCACATGTTTTTTTTTGGGAAGAGTTTCTTCTGTCAGGTTACAGCTTGTTTTGAGGAAACATGAACCTTTGCTTTAACAGATTCCTACTACTGACTTCTTCCCTGGTTCTGCCAACAAGCTCTTTTGGTGATTCTAAGGAGTTCAAGACCCAACGTGCCAACATCCTCACAGACTCAGCAGACGGGTTCTGAGTTCCCAAGTCATTCTCGGAGGTCCTTACTTGGCTGAAGAGAAGTGGATATGCCACAGCACACTACAAATCTTCATTAGTCTCACACTCCTCTTACATGTGACTTAGGTGGGCAATGCACTAAGTTTCTGAAGCGGTTTCACAATACTGTGGCCAGTTGCTTTAACTGGTGTGGTACCTAATGATCTGTCTTTAGTCTTAGCTGAAACCCTATGATGGCTTAGAAAAAGCCATGCTACAAATATATTTTACATAAATGCCATTAAGATACTTTGATTTTTCATAAGTGGAGAAAATATCTTAGTTTATTAGCATGGTAAAATTAAAAATAAAATTAATTAAAAATACAAAAACTAAGTCTAATAGTAGGGGGATGGAGAGATGGCTCAGTGGTTAAGAGCACTTTTAGAGGACCCAGGTTCTGCTTCCAGGATCTACACAGTGGCTCACAACTGTCTGTAACTGCAGTTCTAGAGCATCTGATTTCATCTTCTGGCCTCCAAGAGTGGTGCACATAAATCCACGCAAAGCCAGTCACACACATAGAATAATATAATTAAAAAAATCTAATAGTAAAGGATTACAGAACATTAATACAACTACTTCTTTTTCTTTTCTTTTTTCTTTCTGTTTTTGTTTTTCAGACAGGATCTCATAGACCCAGAATGGCCTCCACTGTCTATATAGCCAAGAGAGATCTCCTGTCTTCACCTCCCACTTTCAATTTAGTTGGTGCCGAGGCTGGAACCAGGGCCTCATGCATGTTAGGACAACTCCACCTGCCTTTTCTTCTCTCTCTCCTTTGCTGTCCTTTTCTACCTTCCTCCCTCTGTTTCTCTTCCTTCTTTTCACACTGATGGAATAAAATCAAGGGCCTTACACATGCTAAGGAAGAATTCTATCACTAAATTTCATTCATAACCCTGCCACATTTCATATGGATGTGTTTTAAAAGTTCAAAAAGAAAAACAGTAACAAAAACCAAAAGCTCTTCCACTACTCTAGAAATGTTAAAATTTGATTTTATGTGCAAATGTTATAGATCCCAGGATGACAAAAAGGTTTTTTTTTTTTTTTTTTTTTTCCGAGACAGGGTTTCTCTGTGTAGCTTTGCACCTTTCCTGGAACTCACTTGGTAGCCCAGGCTGGCCTCGAACTCACAGAGATCCGCCTGCCTCTGCCTCCCGAGTGCTGGGATTAAAGACAAAAAGTTTTTAAAGAAAGGCTAGAATAAATATTTTAAAATGTCCATGCAGATCATAAGACCTCTGTTAGAATTATACAACCTTTGAAAGGAAAGGCAATCACAGATGTGACATAAATTAATACAGCTATATTTTAGTAATGCTTTATTTATAAAAGTAGGTTGCTACCTGAATTTTGTCTAGAAGTTATTGTTTACGTTCCAAAAGTTAAATGGGACATTATACCATAGTTCTCATTCCTAATCTCCCACGAGAATTAAAAATGAGTGCTGGCTAACTAAAGGAGGCTACCATAATAACTGATGTATATTGAATACTTCAAAACATACTGCATTAAATCAAACAGTCACAAATTAAAAGTAACATTAAAAGCACAATGCCTGTACCTGGCTTTGTGAATTAATGCTAAAGATC